GGGCAAAATTGTATCCCATATTTTCACAAAACCTAATGTGTGATTCCTCTCAAAAAATATCTCTCTCTATCTATCATAATACAAGACGCTATATAAGAAAAATTATTTTTTTTAATGTAAATGCACTTTTCTGTTCGTAATGTTCACTTACAAAAACATTAAAGCTTTTTTGAAGAACGGCATCTTTCATATCAAGTAACACACGCACACATGAAAATCAATAATCGTAGTTGCCAGAAACATTTATGGATAACAATTTTCTAATTAAAGACGTGTTATATGCGCCAGTGTAACTTTTCATAACTCATTCAAGAATTGTCAAACAGCCAGTATAAACATTTGTGTTAGGAAAATGTAATAGTTTTTAACGAAATGCACTAGGCAGTAGTCTCACTGACCAACTTCAGAAACGAAGAGTGGCCCTTCCCCCTACTTAGAGCCATGGACCCATTTTTATAGTAGGTCTCCAAGTACACATGTGTTACTTTACACAAAACCCTGATTCCCTATTCCAAGCAATGAAAAGTGTGTCTATCAGTTTATCTTTCAAAACTCCGACTATCTTCTTCAGCCACGGAAGGCGTGAGGCTGCAGCCCTTCTCTACACTGCGCTTTCGTTGGCCATCCTCAGTAGCGGCGAGCGTGAGGTGGTTATAGGTGAACGTGTTCTCGATGGGGAAATGCGTGTTGCTAGCAAAGGAGTTTGTGCCGTCACTCCGTACTCTTGTCGATAATCAGGTGGTGAATGCAAACTCAGACGATGAAGGGAACTGATGTAGGAATTAGATGTAGTGTTTATATTAGCTCTCCTCCGAGGGCCCAAAGTGGCGTACGCGTTGTTGGAGGAGACAGGGGCGCTGTCAGCTGTTGGTATATTTGTTACGCTTCTTGGACGAGCCATTGTGGTTGAAGCGAGCATCGCTGCAGAAGACGGGATGTAGGCGCTCCGTCGATGATCGAGAGTGGCGTAAACAGGCGTGGATGTGGAGGGCCAATATGCTTGGCTACTGACAGGAATTGAGGTGCCCCTGCGTTCTCCTGTGGCATAGATATGTGGTTCCGTGGCAGGGGCCATATCTGAATCCCTGACGGGACTTACTGCGGTGTAGATATTAGAATCGTCAAGCACATCCTCACTAACGGGACGTTGGGAAGATGAAGGAGTGACGAGGCTGGTGCTGGGTGTGGGTAATGTGGCAGCAGCCGCTGTGGTGCTGTTGTTGTTGGAAGAAGCAGAGAGATAGACATTCTTCCTCTTGGCAGCGAAGAGGCAAAGTTCAGTAGCGCTGACCTGGTAACCGGGTTGCGCTTCTCTAGATAGCGGCAGTTCAACGTAATTCACAGCTGAGCCTCCTGGGACGACTTGGTTATGCTGCCAGGGAGAGAGAGAGGGATACAGTATTACATCGATGAAGATATAAATCGGATAAACTCAAGTTGCTTATGTTATCCCCCACAATGTTATTGGAATCAATTAAGAAAGAATATGCTATTAAAAACTACTGTTTTTATTCGCGTACTTATTAACTAAATTAAAATCGTTAGTGGACGAGTCTAGAAAACGGGTGCTATATAAAATATGGCAAATAGTAATTTTCACAAAGGTATGGAATTAGAAATTACACATTGACTTCGAAACTACAGCTTGGCGGTATCAGATCTTTTATGAAGCTTAGTTTCACTATAAAACACACAACACCTTGTGTACCATTAAAAGAAAAAGAAAAACATGATAGAGTACCTTTAACAACCATGGGAAAAGCACAATAAAACTTAAATAACTTTTTGAGGTCATCAATTCTGAGACTGATTTTGATGATATTTGTCATTAGGGAAACGATGATCTTAGGTACACACAACAAAAGGGACTTATGGTCACAAGATGAAAATGATAATCGTTATGAGGTTATTGTATAACATAAATGATGGTTGTCGTCAGGTAACTGGAAGAATGACAACCATAAGATATACCAAGACAATCATATACTACTAACTAAGGTACACCACGAGTATAAATGTTATTTTCTTTGCCTTTCTTGTAGTTTCTTACATGCACATGCTTTTTAGTAAAATACTGAACCTTAAATTCAAATAATTAGTAGATTTAAGCTAAACTATACGGAAATCCAAATTTTGCTATTGCGAAATATTATCAAAGTTTATATTAAATTATGTGTTTGCAATTTTTTCTTTTTCTCTGGTCATGTCCTGAGCCGCCGAAGGTCTGGACACATGCTCTGCTCTACTCTGGGATTCATGACAAACGAGTAATGCTAGTCTATATGTGTCATGCTGCGGATCAGTAGGTCGGTAATTGTCCCATGCAGGGGGTGTCATGCGGTACACCGCAACTCACTGGACTAACCTGCTGAGTAATAAGACGATTGCTGAGGCGCCTGAAGTAATAAAATAGGATTTATTACATCAGAATTCAATTTAAACTTATTTTTTTTACTTTTTTTCCTATCATGTAAGACAGCAAGAATTTAAAAATTCTTGCCTCTTACCAGACGAATTGAAGAATGGGTAAGAACGACGAGTATTAAGGTAACACTTCTCTAAGTGATTTAAGTTTAATGGTGGAAAACTTAATCTGCGCATCTTCAGTGATCCCACATGGCAAGATTATTATTATTATTATATACATAAGGGAAGTGATAAACCCGCATGAGTAATGGGATGATATCAGGATTGATCCAAGGAAAGGGGATAACTGCAATTCCTTGATCAAAATCTCCTCACCAGCATCAAGGTACACCTCATGAAGAGATCAAGAGCCATAATAACTTAAGAATCTGAGTACCGAAAATTGAATGCAACATGCCGGAGATTCTGACTGTAATTACCCAGGTTTAATAAAGAACGAAATTATATTTACATAATATACAAACATCCTCTTACAAGCATTATCAGTAAAATTTTAGATCAGAGAATCATGAAGATTGAGCCAAAAAATGTAGAAAATACAACTCCATCTCACACAAACAAGAGGGACTAAAGCTTCAGAGCTCACTCCTGCAAATGTCCTCGGGGTGAGCAAATTAAGAATCATTTCAACAAAATAACCTCTGAGGCAATTGCGTTGTTAATAAATCTAAGATTATCTTTCAGGAATCTCAACAAAGAGCCACTCAGGACAATGTATTTGACATGTTAGGCCCAACTTGGAGTATGGGGCAGGCAGCAGAACAGAGCCCATACCTCAAAAAAGCATGTAAAAAAACTGGAAATGAAAAGGTATTGTTATAGTGAATCAAAACGACCTGAACCTGATGGTATTAGAAGACATAAGGACCAGGGAAGACAAGACAATGAAGTACAAAATATTTAAAGGAATTAATAGAGTGGATAGAGACAATTTTTACAATGTGACGTCTTACTCTCTATCATTCTTACACGAGAAACGGCTTGTAAATGTAATAGTGTGGAGTGTATTATAAGCTTATGGTAGTACACTAGGAATGAGAGAATGATAAATGATGATTTAGTCAAAAGAAACACCAAGTCAGATGCAGCCACTACCACGACTACTGCCTCTATACCTCTCAACTCCGGTAGACAGGAGAGAAGCCTATACTGGAGTATGCAATATCCAACGCAGTAGATGTCACACGCCTACACTAAGAAACAAGCTGAACGTGTAGAAGACAGGCGCCTACGGTGTCGAAGACACGAGTTTACACAGTGTAATATAGAAACCTACACCGCATAAAACAGGAACCTACATTACGCAAGATTAAAACTTACATTGCAGAAAATAGGAACAGAGGTTACACCGCAGATGACAATATCGCCAACGCTGTAAGACATGAGCCAACACTCAAAAAGCATGGACTTACACTATATAAAACATGACCTAAACCTTAAAAGACATTGGCCTACTGTAGAAAGATAGGAGCCTACACTAAAAAAAAAAAACAGTAACCTCCACTGCTAAATATACGAACATTCAATATAGAATATAGGAGCTACATTACAGGAGACATGAAGCACACATTGTAAAAGACTGGAGTCTAAACTGAAGAAGAGAAAGCTTACACTCTAGAATAATGTAATGAACTACGATGGAGCAGTTCGCCATTACTAAGAATAAGTTAGCTGTGCAAAGTCAGAAAAGGAGGAAGAAGTTGCTGATAAAAACTTTTTTTCAGATATGATCTCCATTTTCTCTTCCAAAATTGTGTCTCAACTCATAGATAATTTTTGATCACCATTTTTATTATGAAAATCTATAAAATGACAGAAATACGAATCACGAACAAAATCAATTGTGGCTCCCAAATCTTTTATATCTTCAAGGGTGTATATATATATATATAATATATATATATATATATATATATATATATATATATATATATATATATATATATATATATGCATAAACACCACTCTGAAATAATAGAGAAATTCAAGCGCATTCGTGATACTCACATTATCAAGGAACTATCATAGTTCCTTGATAATGTGAGTAGTCACGAAAGCGCTTGAATTACTCTATTCTTTCAGAGTGGTTGTTTTGCATATTCTGAAATCACCTGTTTACTGTGATCTTATTGCATATATATATATATATATATATATATATATATATATATATATATATATAATATATATATATATATATATATATATATATATATATTATATATATATTATATATATATATATACATTTTTATTTTTATATTATTATCACACTGGTCCGATTCCCACCAAGGCGGTGGCCCGAAAAAGAAAAAACTTTCACCATCATTCACATCCATCACTGTCTTGCCAGAGGGTGCTTTACACTAACAGTTTATATTTATATCATATATACATATATAATATATACATATATACATATATACATATATAATAATATATATATATATATAAATATATATATATATATATATATATATATATATATATATATATATATATAATATATATATATATATATATATTATATATATATATATTTATTTTAATAAATGTAATAATTTATCCGTCGTGAATCATAATATTTAATAAAGAACCAGTTGTTGAGGTAGGAATGGAAATTAACACAACACAATGGCTTACAATGGTACCTATCGTCTCTCTAGTGTTCTTACTCTGATGATAAATTAGACACATGTGCAACTCTTGGGAATCTTTATTAAGGAAACGTTTCGCCACACAGTGGCTTCATCAGTCCATACACATGGAGAAACTTGAAGAACAGGAGGAGAATGAGGTAATCAGTCGCTCAACCTTGAGTCCATGTGGTCAGTCCATCAATCTTGAATAGAATACGGCATATGAGCGGAGAAGCAGCTTAAAAACCGTAGGCAGGAGAGGTGCAGCAGTTGTAGGTGGTGTCACATTTGCCAATGTGGAATAGGACGTGCCCAATGGTTAGGCAAGCAAGAATTCCCAATGTTAAAATCCCAAAATTGCAGTGTCTGACAGATATGTAGATGAATGGTTCCAAATCGACACGTTGATAAATTAGACACATGTGCAACTCTTGGGAATCTTTATTAAGGAAACGTTTCGCCACACAGTGGCTTCATCAGTCCATACACTGGAGAAACTTGAAGAACAGGAGGAGAATGAGGTAATCAGTCGCTCAACCTTGAGTCCATGTGGTCAGTCCATCAATCTTGAATAGAATACGGCATATGAGCGGAGAAGCAGCTTAAAAACCGTAGGCAGGAGAGGTGCAGCAGTTGTAGGTGGTGTCACATTTGCCCAATGTGGAAGTAGGACGTGCCCAATGGTTAGGCAAGCGAAGAATTCCCAAGTGTTAAAATCCCAAGAAGTTGCAGTGTCTGACAGGATTGTAGATGAATGGTTCCCAGAATCGACACGTTGATAAATTAGACACATGTGCAACTTTTGGGTATCTTTATTAAGGAAACGTTTTGCCACACAGTGGCTTCATCAGTCCATACACAGGAGAAACTTGAAGAACAGTTGGAGAATGAAGGAATCAGTCCCTCAACCTGTGTCTAATTTATCAACGTGTCGGTTCTGTGAACCATTCATCTACAATCCATGAGACACTAACTTCTTGGGATCTTAATACTTGGGAATTCTTCGCTTGCCTAACCCTTGGGCACGACCTACTTCCACATTGGGCAAATGTGACACCACCTACAACTCCTGCACCTCTCCTGCCTACGGTTTTTAAGCTGCTTCACGCTCATATGCCGTATTCTATTCAAGATTGATGGAGTGACCACATGGACTCAAGGTTGAGGGACTGATTACCTCATTCTCCTTCTGTTCTTCAATTTTCTCCTGTGTATGGACTGATGAAGCCACTGTGGCGAAACGTTTCCTTAATAAAGATACCCAAGAGTTGCACATGTGTCTAATTTATCAACGTGTCGGTTCTGAGAACCATTCATCTACTGTTCTTACTCTCTTCTTACCTCAGTGCTGCTCGTTGTAATTATACTAAAAATTTCCCTACTAATAATATATGTATATTTGATACATGCACTAGTATATTCATAGTAATTACATGTATGTACCATTTTGAGAGAGAGGGAGAGAGAGGGAGAGAGAGAGAGAGAGAGAGAGAGAGAGAGAGAGAGAGAGAGAGAGAGAGAGAGAGAGAGAGAGAGAAGAGAAGAGAAAGAGAAAGAGAAAGAGAAAGAGAGAGAGAGAGAGAGAGAGAGAGAGAGAGAGAGAGAGAGAGAGAGAGTGAGAGAGAGAGAGAGAGAGAGAGAGAGAGTGGGTAGAATGTGATTTTAAAAAAGGACCTAGTCTTTTTGAATGCATTATAGAGAGCAAGATTGAAACTTACTCTACAACGCTCTCAAATAACTACAATTTACCATTGATGGTGAAGAGATCTCGTGCATTAGTAGAAGTATTCTACTAAAGCTACGTTTGTGGGTCAGAATGTAAATTAACCAACGTAATTTCTAATGCTTTTACCTCCCAAAAGATAAGAAAAATGTGACTATCTTTGAAAATGCACCCTACATAGGACAGAAATGTGTATATAAATAAATTAATGCATGTATTTGATTATTAGTACTTCTGTACTAAAAACATGCTAATATCATTACTAGAGTTCCGTGTGAATACCTACCGTTCGTGGCAGAGTTCGCACTGACGGAACATTGTCGACGACACCTGAGCTTCCGTGTCCGGGACCTCCACGATCTATGCTCTCGTAGTCTTGATAGGACAACACGTCTGCAAGGAAACACGAGATGACGTAGTAAGTAAGGCTGGAAGGCCACCAGCGACTTGTGTAGTGAAATGTGGATTGTGATGTCCGTAGACTACTTGTGTTTGTGTACTGAAATGTATTTGGTTTTGACAGTGGACTGCGGTTACTTCTGTAGTGAAATGTGGGTTTATGTAGCTGGGGAATAGTTATGTTTTTCTGTTATCAACTATTACACTGATGATTTATGTGATATGATGTATTACATAACACACAACTCATCTGTACACCGGTATAAATTGGATTTCTCAGCTTTTAAACATGAAGGATGTTCGGAAGATTTAAAATCTGTTTAAAACGAGTGAACGGATAGGTACCTAGTACTAGAAACATGTCCTTGAACCCACTTACTAAGGACCTTCAACCTATCGTACTAGAAACCATATGAAAATGCACATTTTTACCACGTGCAAAAAAAAAAAAAAACTGTCTACCTCTATAGGAAGTGCTGAACCTATTTGCTTGAGTGTGAGGAAATATACATGAAGGTATTATCGAAAACCCGTTAGCCAAATTTGAGTAGAGGAGGAAGTGCCAGGATTCGTGTGGAGGGGGGTGTTCGATCCTCTGTCCTCTAATTGCGAGACAGATATGCTACATACCAACCTGTCACCTACTTAAGTGCACTAAACGTAATTCTCCAACAGGTTCCTACCAGTTTTATGTGGAATGATGTCAGGATCGTTGTCCTCTACCTCGCACACGCTGGGTCCCTCCTTCACCCTAGCCGCCAGCACCCCGACGTTCAGCGGCTTGTTTTCTAAATCTCCCTTCATATCGTCGTTTGGGGCGCCGATGTCCCGGCTTGGAGGAGTGTGACGCATCTTCATCACCACCATCACCACCAGCGCCGTTAGGATTATCGCAAGTACCACACCGATCAGGATACCTAAGACAGGTGTGAACTCGAAGAGCGCCGGAGGTCCTTTAAATGGAAAGATTGGCAATGAAGCTTTGGTTACTGAAGTTTACGACTGTATATTATTATTATTATTATTATTATTATTATTATTATTATTATTATTATTAATTTTATTTCATCCGCTTACATGTATGCAGAAGTAAGGCTTAATAAAAAAAAATGCAGGAAAACCTTTATCGGTACAACATTTCACCCAGTGGGTGGTGGATTTTTATAATTCCTCTCTAAGCGTGGGTGAAATGTTGTATCAATAAATGAGTCTCTGCATTTAGAGTCTTCTTACACGCTTACCTCTCAGTTTTCTTCATATCTGAAGCTCAAAGAGCATCGACCCTTGTCCGAACGACACAAATTCAGGTCACATATTTTCTTCCGTTGCAAGATTTTTAACATTTTATATCATTGATTACCTGTGCGTTTCTCTGCCACCTTCAGCGTGAAGGTCTCGAGCTTCGCCGCGTCGCTCCTGCCCTTGGAGTTAGCAGCGTAAGTGACCATAAGAAAGGCGAGGCCGGGCCGTAGCGCCGTCAGGTGGAACAGAGGCTCAACTGACGACATGTTACGATGCAGCGCCCCCGTCGTGGAGTCGTACACCTGGCCGAAAAAAAAGCAACCGGTATTAAGTGGAAGTCTAACATTCTCGGTCACCGTACTGTGCTATAGTGTACTTACTAGTTTTACTTGGGAATTCAACGTTCTTTCTCATTATACGAGACTACGATTTTTTTATGGGATGATATTCTCGCGTTCGAAATAACAGGAAAATACCAGGTGTGGGAAATTATATAGCAACAATTATTGGTTGCTGGATGCTATGATGGTCAGTTATGGACGGGAAAAAACAAGAATATTCCTGAAAAGATATAGAGGTTTAGTACAGGATGGTGAAATAAATTTCCAGTTGTATGAATAGGCAAGCAAACTACTTGTACGATTCCTGACAGGCATTCATAACCATATATCATGCTCGCCTAAGAGTGTGAAGAAAAGAGTACAAACAAAAGAATAGAGTATATATTAGCACACACCAGAATTAGCACACACATATTAGCACACCTTAAATTTTAACTCAGTTTTTGAATAAAGAGCACCAGAAATAAATGTGAATTTAGTAAAACATAACGAAGTTACAGAATTTTGAGTAGCTCACCACCAGGCTTCTATTATAACCGAGATCAAAACCTGCTTAGGAACACAATATCTGAACTAGGAAAGACATTCTGGTACCAATTAACAGAAAACAACAAGACACCAGTGGAAGCTGAACTACCAAGTGAGCCATAGAGAAGAAAAGGAATTAAATAGAGATTAATTAACAAAGTAGAAACTTATCATACACGGCTTCAAAAGCAGGCGCGACAAAGATGAATCACATCAGCCGACCAAAAGTTGAGGGACAAGATTTTTCACTAGCAAACATTTCCCGCTAGTGTGTACCCACCCACGCTAATTATTGCCGTGAATACTAATCACCGCACAAATTAACTTTGCTAAGGATGTTAATGAGAGACTGGCGACTGTCACACTCACGCACGTGCTAGGAAACTCTAATGCATGAATCATATTCTATGACATTTTATTTACTATACTGAACATAAGATACCTTCAAATCAGACCCTGATTGAGCACCATCTCCAAAAATATCACTCCATTTTAAACAATATTTCGCAATATGTTTCTGACCTAAGGTGAATTCTTCAAATTTCCTTTCAACAATAAGTCTTTAAAAAAAGTAAAAATTTCCTACTATAAAATTACTCTATTAAAAATCAGACAACATGAATGCAATTTTACGTAGTCGTGTCTTTCTCTCAAGATCTTTCACATTATTTCTATATAGTTCAGCGAATCACTGATCCTATTCACGCATTGACGGAATCTTTAAAGCTGCAAATGTTTAGAACACAAGGCAGACAGCACCCAGTAAGCTGTCTTCACTCTCTGTGGTCATCAAGGAAATGAAGAGCCGGTAGCCACCTTCACCTGTGACTCCCAGGTAATGTAATGAGAACCTTAATGAAACTCCTAAAGAAGTTCATACCAAGACCTGCATGAGAAGAAGGTAAAGGGGAGGGAAAGGAGGGAGACGAGAGAGAGAGAGAGAGAGAGAGAGAGACAGGAGGTGGAGAAGAGGACGTTGCAGACGAACGGGGATATTAGTGGGGCTGTTGTGTCCTCCCAAGACGGGAGATTTAATTAAAGGAGTTTCATTAAGGTGTAATATGTTGAAACTAGCTGGACTATATACCCAGCAAGATTGTTATTACTGCCTCAATATTGTTGTAGAGGCGATGAGGAACTATCGTCGGTGGGGGGGGGGGAGGGAGGGGCCGGCTCCTGCTCCTCTTCCTCCTCCTCCGCCTTCTCTATCCTCAACGTATAGCCCTTGTGGCTTAGCACTTCTTTTTGATTATAATAATAATAATTACCTTTAGTCGCACCTTTCCTTATTATTATTTACTGTTCATCTGCTATTGAATAATAATTTCATATCTTTGTTTAGAATTTATTGCACATTTATGCTACATGCAAAAAATCGCGAACAAGCGACGCAAGATGCAAAAGACGTAATAATTGATGCAAAAATCACGAACAAGCGACGCAAGATGCAAAAGACGTAATAATTGATGCAAAAATCACGAACAAGCGACGCAAGATGCAAAAGACGTAATAAATGATGCAAAAATCGCGAACAAGCGACACAAGATGCTCACCCGTAGTCGTATTACAAATATTTACTTATTTTTAAACGAATTTCTACTTACAACTTTTTTTTTTACACTGTTACTCTTCATGTCCTTTTGCTGTCTCTCCCTCTGTCTCATCATCTCCCGCTCTATATCACTACTTCTAGCTCTGCCTCCCGATTTCCTGCTCTTTTTGTTCTCCACATCTGCTATTCTCGTTTTCTTTATCTCTCGTTCTATCTGTTTCTCTCTTTGTACATCTGTCTCTATCTCTCACTAAGAGGAATAAAACTTACAGTTAAGTGGCTGGAAAAAATCAATATCCCACAGTTGGAGACGAAACTTTACGAGACATTTCGGTCCATTTTGGATAATTAAGAAATCACATTTATTAATTTATTTGATATTCTGATATCATTACAATGTTAGCTATTCAAGCTTCAGCTTGACTAAGCTCCTGGAGAGCGAAACGTTGCCACAATAAAAATGTCACATTAGTTGCACTTGTGTCCTTTTACTTTACAAAGTATATTGTGTTTTGCTGTATATCGCTGTAACAATATAATTGTCAAAGCAACCATGGAAAGTAAAAATTCATTGGGACTTGTTAGATGATGTGGAAGGAACGGATGGAAGTTTATTATGCATATTGAGGAGGTGGAAGGTTGGTTATGTGGAGGGAAGGAGTGCAGGGATGGTTATGTGGAGGGAAGGAGTGCAGGGATGGTCATGTGGAGGGAAGGAGTGGAGGGCTGGTCATGTGGAGGGAAGGAGTGGAGGGCTGGTCATGTGGAGGGAAGGAGTGGAGGGCTGGTCATGTGGAGGGAAGGAGTGGAGGGCTGGTCATGTGGAGGGAAGGAGTGGAGGGCTGGTCATGTGGAGGGAAGGGAGAGGTATAGGAGTGTGGGTTTAATTGTCCGTTGTTTTCCCGTACCTTCTCTCCCCTCTAATATATGTCATCTGCTCCCTTTGATGCTGACGTTAATGTGTGCTAATGCAGCAGTCCCTGTCCGTATCTCTCTGTATGTAGATATTTTTGATTCCCACACATTATTTTTTTCAGTGTGTGTTTGTTTTTTTTGATAATAACTCTAGTTAGTTGAGTCTTATAACTAATTATGTGCATATTATATGATGCATTATTTATTTATGCACCTGTTTTCTTTGTGTTTGCCTCACTCATTCTTGAATAATTTTTTCTCTCATGCTTGCATTTCATATCTTTTATTTTTTTTTTTTCGGAGTTTCATTATTCGTTTATTTGGAAGGTCTCGTTTTCAAGAACGAGCACATGTGACCATTTGAAGCCTAGTCGGTTTCAGTTTATTTTGCATCTGATAGTGCTCCTCCCTTATCTCGGGAACTAGTCTGGTTACACCTTTTCTATCTAAAATTCCTTGCTTTATTTGGTGGGTGCTCCAAGGTGGTGATGACAGCAATATCAGCAGCAGGAGAAATAACAACAGTAATAATAATAATAGCAACAACATCATCAACATCAACAAACAACCTTATAGGTTGCTAAAAACTCCCTATTGACTTCTGCAGGCTGGTATTCCTTACCTCCATGTAGAAGGTCTGAGGGAGTCCGCCGTCGAAGGCAGCCACACATTCCACCTCGATGGTGTCTGTCGTTTGGTTAGCAATCGAACAGTTCTTGGGCGGGTCCGGCGGCCCTGTTGGTAAGACAGTCTAAGATTTATACAGAACTATTGAAGCCTAGACAAGACAGTTAACGAAGTTTAGTTACGTGCTAATGCACATAACTTCAATTCAAACTCCGTAATATGGAGAAAATTGGGTAAAGTTCCCATTTCGGTAAATATAACTACAGATTTACAATTGGGAATTACAGATAACCACAAGGTACTGAGGGGAAACAGTAGATAGAAACAAAATAGCGTTTTTCCGATATGATTAAAATGAGTTTATTTTAAGGAATTGTTCTGATAAATAGGAAGATACGAAATAAATATAATAGCTAAAAATGTAGTTGTCCTTACTTAGCACAGCGCATAGTATGATACTTTTTGCCGAGCACACAGTATGTTAGTTAGCAGAAGCTATGGTACTTAACAGAGCACACAGTATGTTAGCAGAGTATATAGTATGTTAAAAGAAGCTATAGTATGGTACTTAACAGAGCACACAGTATGGTACTTGGCAGAGTACATGGTATGTAACAAAAAGATTTGCATCCTGGACATGACAATGATCTGTGATAAGCCACAACGCCCTCCAGGTTTCAATTTAACAATGCATATCGCCGGTGCCTTAAGGTGACAACAGAGAGGAAGAACTGCAAATCATTTCAGTAGACTTTGGTTTTATACGCAAACAATAAAATGCGAGTTCCTTCCATTAAATATAATCTACGTCAACTGCAAATGTCAACGAAATATTCTGACCAGGTATATATATATATTTTGGATTTTACAGTAGAAAGGGAAAAAAATATTAGTATTATTTTTATGGAGAAACGCCAAACCAATAGAGGTTTGATCCAAGAAAAAACAGGACAGCTCCATTAACTTGAAACAAGAGATGATATCAGGGTTATTACTTTGAAGGGAGTAAGTAGTAGAAGGGAAGAGAATCAGGGAAACACGATGCGAAGACATGAGAGCGATTTTAATGCCTAAAAATTCTAGCACTTCTCATTAAGCCAAACCTTTCCTGCTAAATGATACATAACGAGTGTCGTCATACGCTGTCGTTATGTAATTCCGGTGATTAACGCACTTAAAACACTGCATTAGACGATTCTGTTTCAGCCTGGCGTTAAGAGTCTCCGAGAATTCGAGCTGTTTAATGCTGATCCTAAATCATTTCAATAATTTTCACAATGAAGTCGCTCTCGCGTATGATACAGTTAAGGTGCGTCGCACAGTAATGTTCCTAAATGGCTCTGCTCTATGCTGAGTTATGAATGCTTCCGAATCCTAGAATTGTGTAAAGGTGGAGATGGATAAATATGAAGAGAGAGAGAAAAAAAAAGAAACTGAAGGGCAGCTAACAAAAGATTTTACACTTTTTATCAAAATAATGTGCTGAGAGGTTCAAAACACGTGACAATGTTATCTCTGGGTCACACTGCTTGCATGATAACGAGGATGATCGGTATAGCTGTGCTGTATTGAAACACGTGCAAGGAAATTTAAAATGAAAGAACAGGGCAGATGTATAATGATAGAATCTACTGTTGTTACTATCACTACAACTATCACTTATACTACCTCCACCACTATTCCCTACGTAGTTCATAGTATTACCACGACCACCACTACTGTTCTCGGTCATCCGGCTGACCAGTGACCAGTCCTGGCTGGTGAGAACGCTAGATACTACGGTAAATCCTTCATGTATTTAGCTGAATACGATATATGCAAAGTGAGTGCCTAAACTCCCCATAAAGTACTATAGTTTTATTGTTTTTACAATTTTGGAAAGTTGCTTGTTCCAGTACTCTACAAGTCTGTTAACAAAAATGTTTTTACTCTTGTTTGTGTTGCACCTCGTGCCTCGGAGTTTTAAAAGTTTTCTTGTGTCATCGAATCCCCTTCCATACCAAATAGTTCTTCATATTTGTGTCAAATTTCTTTAGTACCTAAAAGCGCTTTGTTGGCCTACCTTGAACCTTGTTCCGTTTATCTTCATCCTTGTTCTATAATTTGATGACCAAATATCAAACAATATATTCAAGACCTTGCAAAGGTGTTACATGTTGTACAAAGGTTTTCACATACTGTGCTTAAAATTCATGGCAGGTATGCCTATCATACTTCCAGAGACTCCCGGCAAGATTGTTTAGTTCGTATGAGGTCATTACTAGTGACTGATCCACAATTCTCCTTTTCTTCTTATCTGACGGCTTTCCATGAATTTCATATTTACTAATTTACATATCTCTGTATTGAAGTACATTTTCCATGTATCTGAGAGGTAAATAAAGGATCTCAAATACCGGAAATTAAATTAATAATGAACAAAATATAAAAAAAAATACGGGTATGTTGGGCAGGAACAGGAACAAGAGGTGTAAAAGAGGAGGATTAAGAGGAGGAAAAAAAGAAAAGAAATGTGGAAAACGAAGAAATGATGAAGAAGAAGAGAGTGAGGAGGAAAGAAAGGTAACACCAATTCAACAAATCTAAGAGTACCATTAACTCTACTAAAAGAAAATTATTCATAGATTTTGTTTATTTACTAATATATTGATTAAATATTTTGCGTTATTCAGCTCTAACATGATTAGTGATTTACTCTCGAACTGGTTAACTTTGTCACAACAAATCATATTATATGTATTTTCATACTTTTCACTGATATTCTTCTGACTTTAATTATTTATAATTACAATAAAATTGTCAATAATTGGACCTTTAAATCGAAGAATTTTTTACATTAACACTCGACATCCTACACTGAAAACCTCCACTCTTTAATGTCTTCTTATTAGACGTAATATTTACCTACAGTGCTTGTTAAAAATAATAATAGTAACTTTATTTACTACATGTACAAGGTATACAGTCCTAGCTGACATCAATGACATACTACATAGAAACCCCCTTGTTATGCTGAGCATTTCGGGCAAATTGGTCAGTGTCCCAGGATGCGACCCACACCAGTCGACTAACACCCAGGTACCCATTTACTGATGTGCGAACATAGACAACAGGTGTAAAGAAACACGCCCAATGTTTCTACCCTGGATGGGAATCGAACCCAGACCCTTGTTGTGTGAAGCGAGAGCTTTAGCCACCAGGCCACCAGTAATTCGCTGTCAAATTTCTATAGATGTTTTTACGTAGACTCATGACTGCTATTTAAACTTTACTTTCTGTCTTGTGTTCACGGTAAATTTTGCACACATTCACAGATCAACACACAAACTTATGCAGTTCATCTTTGTTTTAATGGTCTGCGCTTCTCAACTGCTGTCTGTCAAAGGGAAATTAACAAATAGGATACTGAAGCATCAGACAGGAGTAGCTTTCAGCACAAAACAATTCTTTCTTTTCCCCAGAACGAAATCAACATCATTGCATACAAAGGAAGGGCACACTAGAAAAATATAGAGATACAAAAGGTTAAAGGACAAATAAATTTTTTTCTGGCCTCAGCAGCGAGCCATTGTAATTCCGTAGAATTGACTAAGCTACTTCGTAAAAAGGAAAAAAAGTTGTGTTCTCTTTGTTCAAAATAAAAAGAGATAATAGGGAGGACTGACAAGATAAATAGTGAAAACCATAAAAGTGCACATGTTGCAGTAGTTTAGAAAGTGTGACAAAACTATTGAACACTATTCAAACTGCTGATGAAGATCATGTCATTCTCGGTAGAAATTAAGTAACGTAACTATGGTATTAAAACCATAGGGGGGGAAATAATTAATCCTATAATATAATTATAAATCCTCAGGTGGTTTCTAAATGTTTATACCGTAAACGTTAATTGAATTCTATGTGAAATATTGTGTGAAATGAGCCATTCAACCATGGTAGTTGAGCATCATGTGGTAGTTAAAGACGTGTGTTAGTTGCCCATCATGTTGCAGTAATGCTTCATATAGTTACCGTGGAAGTGGTGTTAAATACATATAGCAGCAAGAGTTGTTAATGCAACCAAAATTAGGTGTTGTTGCATTTGTCAAACCTATTTGACAAAATTATTGCTGTCCTGAAAACTGTGCACATATTAATTATTATTAATTGTGCTTCGCATACCCAGATCATTATATTTTACATTTATTATTCCATATCAAATTAAAAACATTATTTTTCCGGATTAACTAATCAAGCATTGCACGTACACGTATAAATTAAACTTGCACTGCGTGAGTCTGACATCAGTGATCTCTAAGACCAGATGCATGTACCAGCAACTCTTAGTGAGAACTTTGTAAATTTCGAGGAGGGAAGCGAGAGAATGATTTTTTTTAACCAATAAAAAGCTTTTCGAGAATTAAACGAAGGTCAGAGTTTGCTCATTTTGTGTGTGTGTGCTCCTTCAGAGCCGCGGGGTGGCCGTCTGCCTGCTGCTACCTCGTGCATACCAACACCCACCAATGTTCTTGCTACCCTTGTTTCTCTTTGTTGATCTTACCAGCTTGTTTTTCTCGCTGCATGTTGTTACTGTTTGTTGCCTGTTTCCCTCCTACTTCCTATTTATTTCTCTCTCTTTGACTGTTATGATGTTTTTGCACATATCTCTAATTTGATCTCTCTACAGGTATTGTTAAAGGGATAAAGTTATCGTCCCTTGAAGGGTGTCAGTGAGGAGATAAATAACAATTCTAAAACCTTTGCGAATAATAACGCTTTCAAGTTTTTTAAACAAATTAAAATTAGTTTATAATCTTGTTTAAGCAAGTTTTCATTGAGTTACAAAAGTGTCGACAGTTTCTCATGAATACACAGCTCATTCCCAAACATTTAACAAAATAGAGATTTTTTTCTCGTCTAGTAACTGTTGTAAATAGTAGTAGTGTTTGCAAGTAATGATAGAAGAAGTTGTTGGTGTTGTTGTTATTATTGAAGATAGCAGTAATATTTGTCAGAATTGGTATTATTATACTGTTTTTGTAGGTATATAGTTTCTACAATAGGCAGATACTATTGTAGATAGTATCTCTAATTAGTAGTATGTATTGTAAGAAGTAGAAATAGCAGTA